CAAATCTTGATGGATACATTGGAAAGGTTTCATGAGTAAACTCAGGCAAACACTTCATAAGGTTTCACAGCTGGCACAACAGGCTTAAACCCAGCCAAACCTTGATTCTTAATTCAGAATCAACAACCCCCTGTACCGGGTCCTTCTCTGCAACCACTTGGTCACCAATTGATTCCCTGAATCTCCACCAAAAGATTCAGTTCACTCAGTAGCTCGCTGGCATACTGACTAATTCCCTGTTTCTCCCACTAGAGAAATCAGTCCCTTCCTGTAGCTCACCGGCCACAGACTGCCACTTTCAAAAAGCTGCGCCGTGAAGTGATAGTTGGCTCCGCCCCCGTTGCTATGGCAACTCAGCTCAAGCCACTAGCCACCATCTCTAACAAAATATAATATCCCATACTTACCATCCCTAAACCACTGTCCAAACTACACATAATCAAAGGAATAAAATTTACACATCGTCACAAATAGGTACAGGAAGTTGAATTGTTTTGGTCCAAGGAATAGACATAGTGAAGCCCTAACGTGGCCTTCAGGGTTGCTACTAAAGAAAAGATCATGTATTGCTTTCTTCTATTTTTTTTTTAAATATTAACTACTTTTCCCTATTTGACATTTTTTAAAAGTTTCCTTCCAAACTAACAAAGGGACTTGTAGTTCTTTATGTTTCCCTGTATATGTTTTGCCCTGTTACACACCTCCTTAACAGTGGCCCTTGGAGCTTCTAAAGGTGCCAGCCACAATATGGACCCCACATGGAAGGCAGTTCCATGAGAAAGTCAATACACAAGGAGAAATAGATGGTTATGTCTGCAAACATCCAGTGTAATGGGGAAGAAGATAGAAATCTGATTTTAGTTCCCATCAAGTATTGCTGGTGGTGAGAACACTTGAAGAACTAAAAGAGAGTCCTCTATACACCAGAGTCTTCTTCCCAATCTGGACACCTTATTTGAGCAGTTCTGAATGCTGAAGTTGTGGTAACCATACATATCCTAAGAAAGCTTCTGTCATCATCCCTTCAGCTTAGCGAAACATTACAAACAGTAGATATGGACATTTTCTGTAACTGTCTGCAACATGTCAATAGGCCGGGGAGATGCGCACAGAATCTGTGAAAGAATTTCAGGAGATCTTTGAAACAGCAAGTGGTGGAGTCTATGGGTGATGAAGTTAGGATTCCTCACATCTCTTCAAGGCAACAATCTGTCTGTCCTTTTTCCACTGTCGGGTTATTGAGAGTTTTGTTTAATATGATGTTTTGCACAACTCCTGATAGGTTTGAATGTTTGGTCTCCAGCGCATGTTCATGCAGCATTGCCTTTTTCGTTAGCCTCTCTCCGTGTTTAACCTTTTGTAAAAGTATGATCTTCCAGAGAAGAGCCAAAACACGTTTGAGTAGAATCTTCTCTTCATAACCACATGTACTCATGCAAGGCAATTTGGTTTTCAGTTGTTACACTGGTAACCTAGTTGTCTCTGATCAGTTAGGAAAACAGAGATTGTGCCAATTCACAAAATATAGCAGTTCTTCTGAAGTGTTTTCTTTTCAATTGTCCAAAAATACACCTCCTCTCCCATAAAATATCTTGTTTCTATATCATGCTGTTAAGAGACAAATATAAAGTAGACTTCATTAAAAGTAACATATTTGGTTTACTCAGAATCTTCATATATTCAACATACAGGTACATAACCTGTCAATCCCGTTACAGATGGATTTGAAGGGTTTCTCTGTGTAGATACCCTAGGGCGTCTTTCTTACAATCAACAGAAACAACTTTACATTCTGAGAATCGAATGGAGTCTGACCTCTAAAATGGAGTCTGAGCTCTGAGCAGTCTCAGATGTGATCATGTGCTCTGGAGCCCCTCCCACAACCTCAAAAACATAACCTGTCAGTCCCGTTACAGATGGATTTGAAGTGGTTTCTCTGAGCAGATAACACATTCTGAGAATCGAATGGAGTCTGACTTCTAAAATGGAGTCTGAGCTCTGAGCAGTCTCAAATCTGATCATGCGCTCTGGAGCCCCTCCCACAACCTCAAAAACATAACCTGTCAATCCCGTTACAGATGGATTTGAAGTGGTTTCTCTGTGCAAATAACACAGGGTGTCTTTCTTACAATCCACAGCAACATCTTTACATTCTGAGACTCGAATGGAGTCTGACCTCTAAAATGGAGTCTGAGCTCTGAGCAGTCCCAAATCTCATCATGTGCTCTGGAGCCCCTCCCACAACCTCATAAATATAAAGGGAAATCTGCATAGCAGAGTATACATATACAATACAGTAAGCAAACAGAATCATATACGGAACAAATTACTAGTGGAGGCTTGAAGAAGGGCACCCTGAATCCCTCTGCAGAGGTCAAGATAGGACAGGATACATGCGTGGCAGGTACAGCTGGTCATAGAATAATAGAATTGGAAGAGACCGCATGGGCCATCTAGTCCAATCCCCTTCTGCCATGTAACCATTGATGGGACTACAGGAGACAAGTCCTCATGTTCGGAAGAAAACTGTGTTCATGCTTCAATGCCAGGTTTGGCATTCAGGGGTTTCTGAAGTATGCGTGGCGGTTGTTGGGTGAGTGGGCTTATTAGCAAAAGACCCTCCCCATAACTATGCAGCAGAGTAACGTATCAGCACCAGTAGCCAAAAGTGATAAAAAGAAGGAGGCTTTTCTTTGTAGCAAAATAATATGGTTGCATTATTTACAAGAACAAAATTTCCATGACACAAATAAAGTTCAACCTTCACACTGGAGCTTCACACGCGAGGCCTTCTCATACCGAGGCTTACCTCACACAGAGGCTTCTCTCACAGGCTAAGACCTACCTCACATTGAGACCTTCGCACAGAGACCTTTCTCCCACTGAGGTTTACCTCAGACTGACTGCTACTAAGCTACAGGCACACCTGCTTATACAAAAATGCAGCTTTTGTTGTAACATTGCATCCAGGTTGCCCTAGTTGCAAGAACAAAGTTTCCATGACACAAATAAAGTTCAACCTTCATACTGGAGCTTCACACACGAGGCCTTCTCATACCAAGGCTGAACGCACACAGAGGCTTCCCTTACAGACTAAGGCCTACCTCACACTATGAGGCCTTTTCATAGACTGAGATCTTTCTCCCAACTGAGGTTTACCTCAGACTGACTGCTATTAAGCTACAGGCACATCTGCTTATACAGAAATGCAGCTTTCGCCGAGTCATTGCATCCAGGTTGCACTAGTTGCAAGAACAAGGTTTCCATGACACAAATAAAGTTCAACCTTCACACTGGAGCTTCACACATAAGGCCTTCTCATACCAAGGCTTACCTCACACAGAGGCTTCTCTCACAAACTAAGACCTACCTCACACTATGAGGTCTTCTCACAGACTGAGACATTTCTCCCACTGAGGTTTACCTCAGACTGACTGTTACTAAGCAACAACCACACCTGCTTATATAAAATTTCAGCTTTTGCCTAGTCATTGCATCCAGGTTGCACTAGTTGCAAGAACAAGGTTTCCATGATACCAATAAAGTTCAACCTTCACACTGGAGCTTCACACACTAGGCCTCCTCATACCAAGGCTTACCTCACACAGAGGCTTCTCTCACAGACTAAGGCCTACCTCACAATGAGACCTTTCTCCCACTGAGGTTTACCTCAGACTGACTGCTCCTAAGCTACAGACACACCTGCTTATACAGAACCGCAGCTTTTGCTGAGTCATTGCATCCACGGTTGCACTAGTTGCAAGAACAAGGTTTCCATGACACAAATAAACCTTCACACTGGAGCTTCACACACAAGGCCTTCTCATACCGAGGCTTACCTCACACAGAGGCTTCTCTTACAGACTAAGGTCTACCTCACACTATGAGGCCTTCTCACAGACTGAGACCTTTCTCCCACTGAGGTTTACCTCAGACCGACTGCTCCTAAACTACAGACACACCTGCTTATACAGAAATGCAGCTTTTGCTGAGTCATTGCATCCATCTAACCCTTTCAGTGCTTGACTCACATTTTTGTAATTAAAAATACCTAGTTAATATTTAATATTATGTTTAATAGGCATGTGCAATCCATGGCTCTAAATCGTTCTAAAGTACTTACAAAACTAAAGTTCTGGTGGTGAAGACTAGGGGGCGCTGATGCTTTGGTTCTACAGTGTTGCTCAAGTTCTGGTGGTGAAAATTTCGGAACTCTAACAGAACTTCCAAAATTTCATTAGTATTTCATTATTGATGATTTTTATGACAGAACCAATTAGGAACTGCCATTTATAATGAAATTTTATTTATTTATTATTTATTATGATTTATTTACAGCTTTTATATTCCGCCCTTCTCACCCCGCAGGGGACTCAGGGCGGATTACAGTGTACACATATATGGCAAACATTCAATGCCAATTTGACATACAAACATATACAGACATACACAGAGGCTATTTAACTTTTTCTGGCCGGGAGCTGTCGCTTTCATCGTCCATCTGCGACACTGATGAAGCACTTCCGCATTCCCCGCATGCTTCCCTGCTGGAATGCTTTGCTGGAGTCTTCTTTATGGCCTCATAAATCAGTTAATTTAGCCTCCCCACACTTTAAGGTGGTACCTTATTTTCCTACTTGACAGATGCAGCTTTCTTTTTGTGTTGCAAAGGTCGACAACAGGCTACACAATGGTTGGAAACCCACTCCAACCCGGGCTGGCTTCGAACTCATGATCTTTGGTCAGAGTGATCTTAATGCAGCTGACACTCAGCCAGCTGCGCCACAATCCCGGTGAAAGTTTTGTTAGAGTTCTGAAATTTTCACCACCAGAACTTGAGCAACACTGTAGAACCACAGCACCAGCGCCCTCTAGTTTTCACCACCAGAACTTTAGTTTTGTGAGTACTTTACAACCATGGATTGCACATGCCTAATGTTTAATATGTTTTAATATGAGGTGAACGGATGTGAAATGACTTGGCCCGTCTCTCTTTTCAGCGGGCAGCTCTGTGGGCGTGGGGAGTCCATCGGAGATGAAGGTCCTGGCCCCTGGTTCCTCCTCTTCGGAGGCGCCCAACATGGTCATCGGAGAGGTCCAGGTGCCTCTGGACATGACAGCCGAAGAGGAGGAGGAAGAGGAGGCGGTTGAAGCGCCCATAGAGATGCGTGCGCTGTCCTCCCGCCCGCAGGTGCCCTGGTCCGGCTTCGAGAAGGCCTTCACCTTCGTGCGGCAGAGGGGCAAGAACGTGATCGTCCAGTGCAGCTACTGCCTGCCGCTGGTCAAGCACCTCAGCTCGGCCTTTGCCTCCGCCTCCAACCTCAAGAAGCACTTGGAGGTGAGTGAATGCTGGGGAAAGTCCAGCAGGGTTGCGTTGCGCATCGTAAACAGAAGGAATGGTTAAGTACGCAGAACGGTCCAGTAGAGGAGAGTCTACTGAACAAGCCAGTACCTGCTGCAGTACCTGCTCCCTCCCGATGACCCACTCTGTAACACAGCCATGTTACATAGTATAATGCCTCCACCTTCGTAACTCCTCAACAGATGGCAGTACTGGTATGCGGCAGGTACTGGCTTGTTCAGTAGATCCTCCTCTACAGTTCCATTTTGGCAGGAAGCCTTAGCATTGAACGGTTGTATTGTTAAAGTGAAAAATAAAGCCTCCAGCTTCGTAACTCCTCAACAGATTGCAGTACTGGTATGTGGCAGGTACTGGCTTGTTCAGTAGACTCTCCTCTACAGTTCCATTTTGGCAGGAAGCCTTAGCATTGAACGGTTGTGTTGTTAAAGTGAAAAGTAAAGCCTCCACCTTCGTAACTCCTCAACAGATGGCAGTACTGGTATGCAGCAGGTACTGGCTTGTTCTGTAGACTCTCCTCTACAGTTCCATTTTGGCAGGAAGCCTTAGCATTGAACGGTTGTGTTGATAAAGTGCGTCCCCCTTCATAACTCCTCAACAGATGGCAGTACTGGTATGCGGCAGGTACTGGCTTGTTCAGTAGACTCTCCTCTACAGTTCCATTTTGGCAGGAAGCCTTAGCATTGAACGGTTGTGTTGTTAAAGTGAAAAGTAAAGCCTCCACCTTCGTAACTCCTCAACAGATGGCAGTACTGGTATGCGGCAGGTACTGGCTTGTTCAGTAGACTCTCCTCTACAGTTCCATTTTGGCAGGAAGCCTTAGCATTGAACAGTTGTGTTGTTAAAGTGAAAAGTAATGCCTCCACCTTCGTAACTCCTCAACAGATGGCAGTACTGGTATGCGGCAGGTACTGGCTTGTTCTGTAGACTCTCCTCTACAGTTCCATTTTGGCAGGAAGCCTTAGCATTGAACGGTTGTGGTGTTAAAGTGAAAAGTAAAGCTCCCACCTTCGTAACTCCTCAACAGATGGCAGTACTGGTATGCGGCAGGTACTGGCTTGTTCAGTAGGCTCTCCTCTACAGTTCCATTTTGGCAGGAAGCCTTAACATTGAAAATAACCGCTTTGAGTCCCCCTCGGGGTGAGAAAAGTGGTATACAAATAGTGTAAATAAAATAAAATAAATCAGAGCCTAATACGAGGGTTGAATTAATAGTAATGCCTCCACCTTCGTTACTTGGGTTTGGATGGGAATATATTAATAAATCAAATGCAGAAATAATCCTTAGAATGTGCTCTTTACCTTGCTTGAAATTTCTCTCTGAGTGATACGACGATCGTCCTGAATCAATCTGTCAACCTTTTGCTTGTGAAACTCGGTGGTTGCTGTCACAGGACATCCAACTCTTTGTTTGTCACACAAGTCAGATGTTCCCACCTCAGCATCTTTAAACTTACTTGCCCAACAACACAAAGTACTCACATCAACACAAGTTAGCTGCCCTGAGTCCTTTCGGGGTAGATGGTGGTGGGGTACAAATGAAGCAGCAGCAGTAGTAGTTATTATTATTATTATTATTATTATTATTATTATTATTATTATTATTTGAAACACATCAAGATGAGTCCACAAAAGACAAGATCACTCTGCTGGCTGTTGTATTGAATCACACGTCGGACACTTCCCAAGCGTCTAGGACTGTGTGATGTATCAGCGAATAATGCTTGCAGATCCCAGTAAGGTGGCCTTCTGCAGCTGGCAGATGGTAATCTTGTAAGCACCAGTTGTGTTTAAGTGCAGGCCAAGGTCTTTAGGCACTGCACCCAGTGTGCCGATCATCACTGGGACCCCTTGACTGGCTTGTGCCAGAGTCTTTGCAGTTCTATCTTTAAATTCTCATATCGTGTCAGCTTTTCCAGTCGTTTCCCTTCAATCCTGCTCTCACCTGGGATTGCAACATCGACGATCCATACTTTGTTTTTTAACATGATCGTGAGGTCAGGAGTATTATACTCCAAAACTCTGTCAGTCTGAATTTGGAAGTCCCAGAGTAGTTTGAAGTGTTCATTTTCTGTAACTCGTTCCGGCTTGTGATCCCACCAGGTTTTTGCTGCAGGCAGATGGTGTTTGTGGCACAAGTTCCAATGAATCACCTGAGCAAGGGTGTTGTGCCTCTGCTTGTAGTCTGTGTGCAATCTTCTTGCAACAGCTGAGGATTTGATCTATTGTTTCATCTGCATCTGTCGTCAACTTTTCAATTCTGGCTTTGATGGCCTTGGTTCTAATAGCTTGTTCATGGGCTGCCAGAATCAGACCCTCCTTTGTCTCCTTTTTCAGAGTCCCATTTGTGAGCCACTGCCATGTGTTTTGTCAATTTGGCTCTCAATTTTTCCCAGGAACTGTCAATGGAGAGCCTTCTTTGGCCAGTTTTCTCTTCTACTCTGGATTGTTGTTGTTGTTGTTGTTATATGTAAAATCCGCAACAACTCACCAGCCACTACACATCTCAACAGCCTTTGTGGGGAGATAGAGCAGGGTAAGCATACAGCACCCTTTAGGGTTTTGGACCATGTGGGTGGCCCTTCTCTGGACCCTTTCCATCTTGTGCAGTGCTTCTCAACCTTTCTAATGCTGTGACCCCTAAAATACGGTTCCTCATGTTGTGGTGACCCCCAAACATAAAATTATTTCCGTTGCTCCTTTATAACTGTAATTATGCTACGGTTATGAATTGTAATGTAAATATCTGATATGCTGGACGTGTTCATTGTTACAAATTCAACATAATTAAAGCATTGTGATTAATCAGAAAAAATATATTTGGGGGAATATGGAAAACAGATGATGGGATTTGCAGTACCTTTAACCGATTCAGGCCTGACTTCCACAGACCATTGAAACCTTCACAAATTACAGAACTGGAGCAAACCTGGGACACAGAACTCCCATGTCAAACAGAAAATACTGGAGGGGTTTGGGAGGAATTGACAATGATTTAGAGATGTAGTTCACCTACATCTGGAAAGCACTGCAAACCCAAAGAATGATGGATCTCGACCTTGGGTGAAGCCTCCGTCACCTGCCTCACACCCCGCCAGCAAGCAAGCAAGGAGAGCCAGGTGAGGGAGGTTTCGTGCAAGGCCAGGCCTCGACCAGAGCCCCCATTGCCTGGCCCTTGCCCTCGCCGGCCAGCAGGGTTGCAAGCCAGGTGAGGGTGGCTCCACTCGAGGCCTAGCCTGGCACAAATCCCCCCTCGCAACCCTACCAGCCGGCAAGTGGGGAGAGCCAGGCGAGGGAGGCTTCGCAAAAGGCCAGGCCTCAAGTCAAGCCCCCCTTGCCTGGCTGTTGACCTCGCCAACCAGCAGGCAAGGGAGGATTTGCCCAGCCATTTTGAGTAGGTGAAGGGGGTGGGGCCAAATGGCGCCTTCGCGACCCCTCCAAATTGACCAAACAACCCCTCTGGGGGTCGCGACCCCCAGGTTGAGAACTGCTGATCTTGTGCATCTCCTTCTTGAGTTGCTCTGCCCAGAACTGGACGCAGGGTTGTTATTATCCCAGTTGAGAAGGACTGACCAAAGTGGAAAGGAGTGCACCAGTTAACCCGTCTTCTCTTTCTCCTCTCTAGAGAGCTCACCCTGGGAAGCTGATTGCGATTGAAAGGGCCAGAAAGGCCAGGCGGCGCGGCATCTATTGCGAAGAGCTGAGGCCGGATGCGGACGCTGCTTTCAGCCGCCTCCCCCGGCACCAGCAGCGGACCCCCTTCGGTCGGTGGGGCTCGTGCAATGAGACGCTCACCCAGCAGACCCTGGACCGGAAGGTGATGGACTTCATTGTGGAGGAGACGCTGCCGCTGGAAACAGTGGACAAGCCTTCCTTCATTGGTTTGGTGCGCCTCGGCCTTCCGGAAGGGCTGTCCGTCATGAGCGCCGCGACCCTGCGAGACAGGATTGAGGGGCATTCGTTAGCCCTGCGAGAGGCACTAGTGGGCAGGATGGGGGACGTGGCGCACGTGGCGACCACCGTGGACTGCTGGGCCAGCGGCCGGAAGAGCTTCCTGCGGGTGGCGGCGCATTGGATCAACCCGGGCACACTCAAGCGGGAGTTTGGGGCCTTGGCCTGCAAGCGCCTCAGAGGGCGGCCCTCCTACGCCGTCCTGGCTAAAGCCCTGCACGACGTCCACGTCGAGTACCGCATCCACAACAAGATCGTCTGCATGACCGTCGACAGTGGCTCCAACTTCGCCGGGACGCTCCGGGTGTCCAAGGGCAGGGAGACGGAGATGGCGGAGACGTTCGAGGCGAGCGACAACGACGAGGACAAGGCAGAGGTGGAGTTCGTGCCCTTGTTCGAGATACTGGAAGCGGGGAACAAAGCCGGAGAGGGGACGGGGGACAATGACGGTTTCCGCTTGCCTCCGTTCCAGAGGTGCGCCAGCCACACCCTCAACCTCATAGCGACGTGCGACGTGCAAGGCTTGATCTCCGAATCGGCCCAAAACAGCTCCCTTGGCCTTTTCTGGAAACACTTCTCCTCCTTGATGGCGAAGTGTAACCGACTGTGGCGCGAGCAGAAGGCTTCACCGCAGACAGCGGAGTACATCCTGGAGCAGTGCGGGGCCTACCTGAAGGTGCCGGACCGGTCCAGGTGGGACTCCACCTACGAAGCCTTGAAGCAGCTGAGCCAGCTCCTCTCCGCCGCGCCGCTCCGTGTCGGTGCCGTGATGGACCGCTGCTCCTTGGCAAGAGTGACGGCGGAGGAGGGCTTGGCCGCGAGGGAGTACGCCGAGGTCATGGCCCCACTGGCCCAGGCGCTGGACATCCTGCGGCGGGACAGCGGCATGTTCATGGGCTACCTGCTTCCCACGCTGTACAACCTGGACCGCAAGCTGCGGGAGATGGAGCACCGGCCCCTGGGGTACACCTACTGCCTGCCCCTCGTGCAAGGGCTGCGCAAGGCTCTCCGGGAGCGCTTCGAGCCCATCTGGGAGGACAAGAAGCTGCTCCTGGCCGCCTGTCTCCACCCGCGCTTCAAGGCCGACTGGCTGGAATCGGCTGCCCGGGCAGACCAGACCAGCAGGTGAGGCAGGGAGGTATAATATCCACAATGCAGACATGGGCCAACTTTGGCCCTCCCTCCAGGTGTTTTGGACTTCAACTCCCACAATTCCTAACATCTGCTAGGGCAGTGTTTCTCAACCTGGGGGTCGGGACCCCTGGGGGGGTCGTGAGGAGGTTTCAGAGGGGTCGCCAAAGATGATCAGAAAACACATATTTCTGATAGTCTTAGGAACCCTTTTGGCAGAGAAGGCTGAAGATCTCTCTGCCTGTCCTCATCCTTGTTGGTGTTGGTGAATGACAACTCCCAGAATTCACCAGTAGTTAATGTTGGCCATGTTGATAGTGTGCCAAGTTTGGTGCAGATCCATTTTGGGCTGGGTTCAGAGTGCTACTTGATTATAGGTTAACTATAAATCCCAGCAATTACAACTCCCAAGTGTCAAGGTCTATTTTCCCCAAACTCCACCAAACAATGATGAATCTGGACCAAACTTGGCGCAAATATTCCATATGCCCAAATATGCACACGTGGACTTTGGGGAAAATAGACCTTGACATTTGGGAGTTGTAGTTGCTGGGATTTATAGTTCACCTACAGTCAAAGAGCATTCTGAACCCCACCAATGACAGAATTGGGGCAAACTTCCCACACAGAACCCCTATGACTAACAGAAAATACTTAAGGCCATCCAGTACAGCTCCCTTCACCAGGGCAAGAAAACATAATCAAAGGCTGGGCCACAGCAACGCGTGGCAGGGGATGGCTAGTATACACACACACACACACACACACACACATACATACATACATACATACAATACATTATATTACACGTTGCTGTGGCCCACATGAGGGTTCTGTGTGGGAGGTTTGGCCCAATTCTATTGTTGGTGGGGTTCAGAATGCTCTGTGATTGTAGGTGAACTATACATCCCCGCAACTACAACTCCCAAATGTCAAGATTCTATTTTCCCCAAACTCCACCAGTTTTCACATTTGGGCGTATTCGTGTAGAGTTTGGTCCAGATCCATCATTGTTTGAGTCCACAGTGCTCTCCAGATGTAGGTGAACTACAACTCCCAAACTCAAGGTTAATGCCCACCAAACCCTTCCAGTACTTTCTCTTGGTCTTGGGAGTTCTGTGTGCCAAATTTGGCTTGATTCTTTTGTTGGTGGAGTTCAGAATGCTCTTTGATTATAGGTTAACTATAAATCCCAGCAACTACAACTCCCAAATGACAAAATGAATCCCCCCCCCAACCCCACCAGTTTTCAAATTTGGGCATATTGGCTATTTGTGTCAAATTTGGTCCAGTGAATGAGAATACATCCTGCATATTAGATATTTACATTACGATTCATAACAGTAGCCAAATTACAGCTACGAAATACCAATGGAAATAATGTTATGGTTGGGGGTCACCAACACATGAGGAACTCCATTAAGGGGTCATGGCATTAGGAAAGTTGAGAACCACTGTGCTAGGGAATTGTGAGAGTTGGAGTCCAAAACACCTGGAGGGCCTAAGTTGGCCCGTGCCTGATCTAGCGACTATTCTGTTGGTTTGTTCTTAAATTGGATTTGTATGTAAGTTGGAGCAGATAATGTTTAAGTCAAATACACACACACACATCTATATAAATAAAAATGTAATGTTCATTTGTGGGATTAACAGAACTCAAAGACCACTGGACAAACTGACACCAAGTGTGGACATAATACACCTCTCAGGCCAACAAGTGACCATCACTGATAAAAACATTGAAAAACGCAGCAGAAGAGACTTAAAAAGCCAAACAATAAAAAAAAACTGGGTTGTTGTAGGTTTTTTCGGGCTATATTGCCATGGTTCTAGAGGCTTTTCTCCTGACGTTTCGCCTGCATCTATGGCAAGCATCCTCAGAGGTAGTGAGGTCTGTTGGAACTAGGAAAATGGGTTTATATATCTGTGGAATGACCAGGGTGGGACAAAGGACTCTTGCCTGCTGGAGCTAGGTGTGAATGTTTCAACTGACCACCTTGATTAGCATTTGATGGCCTGGCAGTGCCTGAGGCAATCTTTTGTTGAGAGGTGATTAGATGTCCCTGATTGTTTTCCCTCTGTTGTTTTGCTGTTGTAATTTTAGGAATTCAATCCTCACTACCTCTGAGGATGCTTGCCATAGATGCAGGTGAAACGTCAGGAGAGAATGCCTCTAGAACATGGCTCTATAGCCCGAAAAAACCCACAAGAACCTAGACTTTAAGATTGTCCGCACATTGCACTTACCCAAAAATCCTTATATTTCAAGTGTCATACTCAGCACTTTTAATCTGTACCCATCTACACTTGGCCCGGCCTTAGTTTTATTGTGCTACGGTGTATTGTTTTTACTGTTTACTGTTGTTGCTTAATGTTTTGATTTGCTTTATGGTTTATGTGTATTGTTGTTTTGTTGTTTTATTGAGGCCTTGGCCTTTGTAAGCCGCATCGAGTCCTTCGGGAGATGCTAGCAGGGTACAAATAAAGATGATGATAATAATAATAATAATAATAATAATAATAATAATAATAATGATGTCGAAGGCTTTCATGGCCGGAATCACTGGGTTGTGTAGGTTTTTTCGGGCTATATGGCCATGTTCTAGAGGCATTCTCTCCTGACGTTTTCGCCTGCATCTATGGCAAGCATCCTCAGAGGTACTGAGGTAGGGTGCATCTGAGGATGCTTGCCATAGATCAGTGTTTCTCAACCTGGGGGTCGGGACCCCTGAGGGGGTCGCGAAGGGGTGTCAGAGGGGTCGCCAAAGACCATCAGAAAACACAGTATTTTCTGATGGTCATGGGGATTCCATGTGGGAAGTTTGAGCCAATTCTATCATTGGTGGAGTTCAGAATGTTCTTTGATTGTAATGAACTATAAATCCCAGCAACTACAACTCCCAAATGTCAAGATCTATTTTCCCCAGATTTCACCAGTGTTCACATTTGGGCATATTGAGTATTCATGCCAAGTTTGGTCCAGATCCATCATTGTTTGAGTCCACAGTGCTCTCTGGATATAGGTGAACTACAACTCCCAAACTCGAGGTCAATGCCCACCAAACCCTTCCAGTGTTTTCCATTGGTCATGGGAGCCAAGTTTGGTTCAAATCCATTGCTGGTGGAGTTCAGAATGCTCTTTGATTATAAGTGAACTATAAATCCCAGCAACTACAACTCCCAAATTACAAAATCAATCCTCCTCCAACCCAACTAGCATTTACATGTGGGTGCATTGGGTATTTGTGCCCAGTTTGGTCCAGTGAATGAAAATACATATCAGATATTTACATTATGATTTATAACAGTAGTAAAATGACTGTTATGAAGTAGCAACGAAAACAATATTATGGTTGGGGGTCACCACAACATGAGGAACTGTATTAAGGGGTCACGGCATTAGGAAGGTTGAGAACCACTGCCATAGATGCAGCCGAAACATCAGGAGAAAAATTGCCTCCAGAACATGGCCATATAGCCCGGGAAAACCTACAACAACCCAATAATAATAATAATTGTGAGGGTTGGAGTCCAAAACACCTGGAGGGCCTAAGTTGGCCCGTGCCCGATCTAGCGACTATTCTGTTGGTTTGTTCTTAAATTGGATTTCTATGTAAGTTGGAGCAGATAATTTTTTAAGTGTCACCCCAGACAAATACACACACACAAATACACACAGACATCTATATAAATAAAAATGTAATGTTCATTTGTGGGATTGACAGAAGTCAAAAACCACTGGACAGATTGACACCAAATTTGGACACAAGACACCTCTCAGGCCAAGGAGTGACCATCACTCATGAAAACACTGAAAAACACAGCGGAAGGGACTTAAAAAGCCAAAAAATAAAAAACACATTACAACGCATGCACAAAACCGTGTGTGTGTGGGTGTGTATATGCAAACACACATATATACACATATACACAAATATATACACATATACACACACAAAGCACATACACACATACACAGAGACTGGGCCACAGCAACGCATGGCAGGGGACGGCTAGTGTGTATGCATGTATATGTGTGTGTGTGTGTGTGTATAGATAGATAGATAGATAGATAGATAGATAGATAGATAGATAGATGATAGATAGATAATAGATAGATAGATAGATAGATAGATAGATAGATAGATAGCTTTGGATCACTTAAGGAAAGGTGGCGTTTCCTTTGCTGTCTATGTCCCTGATCAGAAGATTCCAGCTCACTTTCTGTCCCTCTGAAAATCAGATTTTGGAAAACTTGGTTTTATATGTATACAAGGATTGGAGATGATGTTGTTGTTGTTGTTGTTATATTTATACTCTGAAGGAGACTCAAAGTACCTTAAGCATTTGCATGCAATTATGCAAACATTAAAATTACAATATGCAATTATGCAAACATTAAAACAGAATTAAATATAAAGAGTATTTAAAATTCAGAGTTAAAATCCATATTCAAAGATACAGTTTCAGTGGGGACCCCTTTTCCCCAGGATCATCATCATCATCATCATCTTTAATTACTTATTAATCGCCCTCCATCCGAGATGCTCCAGGCGATTTACATTGCAGAAATTATACAGGATAAAACACATACATACAAATATTAAAATTAACATGGGTCAAATGCTCTAGTAAAAAGCCAGGTCTTAAGTGCTAGGATAAAATGCCCTAATAATAACTCTTCCTGGAGTGAATTTCCCTTCCAAGGCATAGATTTTTCTCACTTCCTATTGTCTCACCCCCAATTTTCAATTAGGAGTCATTTGGAAGTCAGATATTTGTAACTCTGAGTCGTTTGCAAGTCAGATGTTTGTAAGTATGAGTTGTTTGCAAATCAGTGTGCTTGTAACTAAGTCATTTGGAAGTCAGATGTTTGTAACTATGAGTTGTTTGCAAGTCAGATCTTTGTAATTAGGAGTCATTTGCAGGTTGGATGTTTGTAACTAGGAGTCATTTGCAAGCAGGGGCGGCTCATCCATTACGCAAAGTAAGCAGTCGCAGAACACTTTTTTTTGCCAGGGGCGCAGAGGCGCCTCTGTAAATGCCCCTCGACTGCCACTTGAGGAGCGCCCCCTCAGCTCACAACAGCCCTAGCAGTCCGGGGGGAGCCTCGGCTTTCTTGCCTCGCTGCCGGGCGATCCTCTTCCCAAAGGGGCCGGGCCCTTGAGCCTCGCCTAGCCCTTTGTTCCTGCTCCACCCGGCCACCGGTGTGCAAGCAGAGCTGGCGCTCAATCGTTCTCCGCATTCAATCCCTTCCCCATGACCGGCTCCCTTTCCCGATCCCCCGGTGCTCCACCTGCCTCCTCTCCTCTCCCCAATCCGCGGGTGGGCCGAGGGGCGGAGCCACTGCGCCTGGTCCGCTTCGGGTCCGAAGGCGTGTCTGAAGACCCCAGCGTGTGCACCAAAAGTCGCCTCTTCTCCTGACTTTCTCTTCAGCCATTGGGACCAAGAGAGAGAGAGAGAGAGAGAGAGAGCCCCTCCGGCTGGAGGTATCTCCCACCTCCGCTCCCTCCTTTGTTTTTGCGCCTACCTTCAGGAAAGGTGGGCATCTCCACCTCTGTCTCTCTCTCTCTCTCTCTCTCGGTCCCAATGGCTGAGGAGAAAGTCAGGAGAAGAGGTGACTTTTGGTGCACACGCCGGGGTCTTCAGGCACGCCTCCGGACCCAAAGCGGGCAAGGCAAGGGAGCAAGTGCGGCAAGTGTAGTTACTGGGATGTATAGTTCACCTACAATCAAAGAGCATTCTGAACTCCACCAATGATGGAATTGAACCAAATATGGCACACAGAACTCCCACGACAAACAGAAAATATATATCAATGATTGGTTTGGGGGGGGGAGGGCGCCAAAATACTGTTTGCTTCCCGTTGAAAATTACCTAGAGCCGCCTCTGTTTGCAAGTCAGATGTTTGTAACTATGAGTTGTTTGCAAATCAGTGATGTTTGTAACTAGGAGTCATTTGCAAGTTGGATGTTTGTAACAGAGGGACTGCCAAGTTGGACGTTTGTAACTAGGACTTGTTTGGAAGTCGGATGTTTGTAAACGAACGGATGGCCCTTGTGTTTCTAACCTGGCTTTGCCCCCGTCCTTCTCTCCTTCCCAGGTACATGATGGAGGCCGTGCTGAAGGCCGAGATCCGGAGCACCGTGGCAGAGGAGGGCGCCGAGCCTCCGGACCGGGACCCGGCCGGGGAGGAGGACCTGGAGGACGACTTCTTCAACCTGCAGCCGCGCGGCCGGCGGTGCGGTGCGGACGCCGTGGACGAGGAGGTCTGGCGCTACTTGAAGGCTCCTGGTCGGGAAGCCTCCTCCTTGCACGCCTTCCCGCACGTCCTGCAGCGCTTCCTGCTCTACAACACGGGGCTGCCCTCCAGCGCCGCCGTCGAGCACCTCCTTTGCGCCGAGACGTGCGCTGCGGTTGATGCTGGGAGGCAGCCCTCCGACGACAAACTCTTTGAGCAGCTCTTCCTCCTGAAGCAGAACAAGGGCGCCTTTTAGGATGGGAGTCTTCTCAAGCCCTGGAAACGACGACCAAAGAATCTTGTGCAACAAGTGTGCAACGAGTGCAGTAACGCATATCTGCACTTTGTATTGACGAAGTATTCCACAGCTCAAATCACTTTGGTGTTGTGTGGTTTCCGGGCTGTATGGCCGTGTTCTAGACAGCAAAGCCTAGAGAAGACAATGATGCTGGGGAAAGTGGAAGGCAAAAGCCCGGAAACCACACAACACTGCATTGGACTAAATCTCCTATCATCCCCAGACATATCCCCTCCCCACTATCCGTTCGGTTTGAGCGTAACGGCACATGTGTCAAAACGCAATGGCGCATGTGTCAACAGACTTCGGTTGAGGACTCATTCACTCATTGGAAGCCGTTGGCGCTTTTTCGTCCGCCAAAGACACAATGGCCACATTCAGAAGTGCAATTGTGGAGATGAACGTCGGGCGATGTCTTCAGTCATGCATCCATTGGTTTGCACATTCAGACATGTGCTATCTCCATGCGCAACCAAGACTATATATAGATGACTATAAACAGAAGCTGGATAAGTATCTGTCGGGGGTGCTTTGATTGTGCTTTGGAAGAAGCGGGGTTGGACCGGATGGCCCACGTGGTCTCTTCCAACTCTAGGATTCTATGATTCTACGAGGGTTGAATGAAAAGTAATGCCTCCTCAAAAGATGGCAATATTGGTATGCGGCGGGTACTGGCTTGTTCAGTAGACTCTTCTCTACAGTCCCATTTTGGCATTTGAATGTGAATGCACCGTATTGCAATTGTTGTGGTGCAATCAACATTCGTAACTCCTCAAAAGATGGCAATATTGCTATGCGGCAGGTACTGGCTTGTTCAGTAGACTCTCCTCTACAGTCCCATTTTGGCATTTGAATGTGAATGCACCGTATTGCAATTGTTGTGGTGCAATCAACATTCGTAACTCCTCAAAAGATGGCAATATTGGTATGCGGCAGGTACTGGCTTGTTCAGTAGACGCTCCTCTACAGTCCCATTTTGGCATTTGAATGTGAATGCACCGTATTGCAATTGTTGTGGTGCAATCAACATTCGTAACTTCTCAAAAGATGGCAATATTGCTATGCGGCAGGTACTGGCTTGTTCAGTAGACTCTCCCCTACAGTCTCATTTTGGCATTTGAATGTGAATGCACCGTATTGCAATTGTTGTGGCACAATCAACATTTGCTCTCTTGTGAGGTACACTTCTCTGGCTTTCGTCCACACCGAAGCAGTAAATGTGTGCTTTACTGTGCTTTTTAGTTTGTGTGTTTTCTTTGCAAGGAGTCCCTCAATTACAGCTACCAACGATGATGCCATCTCAGGGATGCCCTGTGTTGTCGTCCCAAGCTGTTTCTTCGGCAATTACGTGTCTCAGCTCTCTTGTCAGCTTACGGGGATGCTGGGTTGCCTTCTTTTGGAGCAAGGAGCCCCACAGAATTAATATCCACGCTGTTGCTTTGAGGAAAAGGTAACGATTTATTAACAGAACTTGGGCCTAACTCCACCCAGGCACTAGTTTTATTTTGCCACAATAAAGTTAGTATTGAGGGAAATGGAGGAAAGTTATGGAGAGCTATGGAGACATCGCGAAGGAGGCCTTCTCAGAGCTGGAGCAGGGAGAAAGCGGGCTGGTAGCTTTAAAGCTGGTAGCCACCTCTCCACCAAAGTCAACATTGACACTGAAATACAACAACGCCTGAGCTCTGCAAGTGCAGCATTTTTCCGAATGAAGCAGAGAGTGTTTGAGGACCGGGACATCCATAGGGAGACCAAGGGGCTTGTCTATAAAGCTGTTGTCCTCCCAACCCTGCTATATGCCTGCGAGACGTGGACTGTCTACAGACGTCATATGCAATTCCTAGAATGATTCCATCAGCGTCGCCTGAGCTCTGTGAGTGCAACATTTTCCCGAACTAAGCATTTTCCCCAACCCTGCTAAGTGCCTGCAAGATGTGGACTATCTACAGACGTCACATGCAACTTCTAGAATGATTCCATCAGCGTCGCCTGAGCTCTGCGAGTGCAGCATTTTTCCCCGAATGAAGCAGAGAGTGTTTGAGGACTGGGACATCCTAGGGATACCAAGGTGCTTGTTTATAAAGCTATTCGTCCTCCCAACCCTGCTCTATGCCTGCAGACGTGGACTGTCTACAGACATATATCGATGGCACTGAAAATACAGCATCACCTGAGCTCTGTGAGTGCAGCATTTTCCCGAATGAAGCAGAGAGTGTTTGAGGTCCGGGACATCCATTGGGAGACCAAGGGGCTTGTTGATAAAGCCATTGTTCTCCCAACCCTGCTCTACATCTGTGAGACGCAGACTATCTACAGATGTCATATGCAATTCCTAGACTGAAATACAACACCGCCTGAGCTCTGCAATTGCAGCAATTTTCCTAATGAAGCAGAGAGAGTTTGAGGACCAGGACATCCGTAGGGATACCAAGGTGCTTGTTTATAAAGCTGTTGTCTTCCCAATCCTGCTATACGCCTGCGAGACATGGACTGTCTACAGACATCATATGCAACTCCTGGAAAGATTCCATCAGCGGTCCCTCTGAGAGTGCAGCATTTTCCCGAATGAAGCAGAGAGTGTTTGAGGACTGGGACATCCGTAGGGAGACCAAGGTGCTTGTTTATAAAGCTACTGTCTTCCCAACCTTGCTATAAGCCTGCAAGATGTGGACAGTCGACGGACGTCACATACAACTCCTGGAACGATTCCATCAGCGTTGCCTCCGGAAAATCCTGCAAATCTCTTGGGAAGACAGGCAGACAAATGTCAGCGTGCTGGAAGAAGAAGCAGAGACCACTAGCATTGAAGCCATGGCCCTCCGCCATCAACTTCGTTGAACCAGCCACGTTGTTTGGATGCCCGACCGCCGTCTCCCAAAGCAGTTGCTCTATTCCGAACTCAAGAATGGAAAACGGAATGTTGGTGGGCAGGAAAAGAGATTGAAAGATGGGCTCAAAGCCAACCTTAAAAACTCTGGCATAGACACTGAGAACTGGGAAACCCTGGCCCTTGAGCGCTCCAGATGGAGGTCAGCTGTGACCAGCAGTGTTGCGGAATTCAAAGAGGCACGAATGGAGGGCGAAAGAGAGAAACGTGCCAAGAGGAAGAACAGGAAAAGAGATTTAAAGTTGGGCTCAAAGCCAACCTTAAAAACTCTGGCATAGACATTGAGAACTGGGAAGCCCTGGCCCTTGAGTGCTCCAGTTGGAGGTCAGCTGTGACCAGCAGTGTTGTAGAATTTAAAGAGGCATGAATAGAGGGCGAAAGAGAGAAACGTGCCAAGAGAAAGAACAGGAAAAGAGATTTAAAGATGGGCTCAAAGCCAACCTTAAAAACTCAGGCATAGACACTGAGAACTGGGAAACCCTGGCCCTTGAGCGCTCCTGCTGGAGGTCAGCTGTGACCAGCAGTGCTGTAGAATTTAAAGAGGCATGAATGGAAGGTGTAAGAGAGAAACGGAAGGCACATCAAGCCAACCCCGATCGAGACCACCTTCCGTCTGGAAACCAATCACTGCGGGAGAATATGCAAGTCAAGAATAGGGCTCCACAGTCACCTACATATCCACCGCAAATACACTAATCCTGGAAGACAATCCTACTTGGACAACGAGGGATCGCCTAAGTAAGCAAAGTAAGTTTTAACTATATTGTATTGATGCAACACCTTCCTCCATCCTGGCAGACACTGCCTTGGCTGAGAGGGAGGGAAGGAAGGAGAGAAAAAATAAATAACAACATTAATAATAATGTTATTATATGTTATTATATAATATAATAATGATAATAATGGTGATGTTTAGCCAAACATTTGCACACACATCCCAACCGGCCCGAATTCCAGCACAGCCTCAGACCCAAAGCAGACCGGACCTCCGTCAAAGGGACACATTTATTTGCACAGCTCCGGCAAAGGCGAAATTATTTATTATATATCACAAAGATCTAGTAAACAAGTTACAAAAGGGTTCTCCAGGTACAAGGTCATGCTGGGGACAGGTGTGGGTTGTTTGTAAGCCCCAATCTATCTATATAAAAATGCTCTGTGCATAATGAGTACCTTAAAAACAAAAGAACCAATGAACGAAATCGCACCAAATTTGGCAGCAAAACGTCTCGCTACACAAGGAGTGACCATCACTCAAAAAATTATGATTTTGTCATTTGGGAGTTGTAGTTCCTGGGATTTATAGTTCACCTACAATCAAAGAGCATTCTGAACTCCACCAACGATGAAATTGAACCAATCTTGGCACACAGAACTCCCACGACCAACAGAAAATACTGGAAGGGTTTGGTGGGCATTGACCTTGAGTTTGGGAGTTGTAGTTCACCTACATCCAGAGAGCGCTGTGGACTCAAACAATGATGGATCTGGACCAAACTCTACAAAAATACTCAGTATGTCCATATGCTCTAATGTGAACGCTGGTGGAGTTTGGGGAAAATAGAATCTTGACATTTAGGAGTTGTAGTTGCTGGGATTTATAGTTCACCTA